GCCCGAGCCGGTATAATTTTCGATGGCGTCAATACCATGAGTGGCAGGTGGCTGAATTTTGCGGAGACTTCGCCATGGTCTCCAACCCTCGTCCTTTCTCATTCGGGCTTGTGACCGGCAACGACAGAGAATGTTCTCTGCATTCTTAATTTTTTCCATCATCATGGTTCCTCCCTTCTCTCTCTGAGACGTCGAATCCAGTCGCTGAGGCTGAGCATGTTCGGCTATTTTTGAGAATCGAAGGAGCTTCTCTGTGAGATTTTGGTAATCTTGTTCGATGCTCGCCGTCAGAGTCCATTCGGTAGTTCCGACTTGCCCCTCCATCTTTGCTTCGTCGATCGCTCTGCGCCCTTTACGCTGATACGACACATACAGTGCCATTCGTTCGACAGCCGGAATTATGTGTATTCTTGCCCGCAGAATGCGGTGATCGCTTTCTGCGTTGAAGGATGGTCCTGCGGAGACATTCTTCAAGATGCGCTGTGTATCGACCAAAGTATTGTCAATCTCAGTTTTCGCAACTGCGTTTGGAGTAATCCATGTCCATCTCCGTCCCACTTTATTCCGGAACGAGATGTACCGACGAACAGTTTGTTGGCCTCTGTCATCGCTACCATTCAGTCATCCGTGTTGTTTCGTTCTCCTACACTAAACCTGCCAATGTGCTTCTTGCCGGCTTTTCCCGCTCGACCAAGTTTTGGGTTGAAATCGCCCATCACTAACGTGTAGGCAGACTTGATAGTGAGAGTTGATTCGTGCTCCGCATAGAATTCTTCAACCTCATCGTCATCGCTGGCCGTAGTGGAAGCATAGACTTGAACGATTTTGAGGATTTTGCTGGAATCCAGCCGTAGAAAGAGTACATCGACTCGTGATGAACTAAAGCAGCAGGAAAAGATTCGTGGAGTTCAATTCTTGTTCAGGATAAACGCGATTCCACCGATGTTCCTGTGTCCTTCTTTGCTCTGAAGAACCGTGTTGCCATCCTTCCAGGTAGCGTTCTGATTTTCCTCGTGTCTCGCAGACGCTGAGGACTTCGCAAGGCATT